ATGCCTCTTTGACTCTTTCATGCCACTCCTCCCACTTATTTGTTATTCCATCAGCGTTTGTGTACCATACCTTCAGTTTCCTTTCCAACACTGTGGTTTGGGGGGCCTGTGAGGGTGGGAGACCTGGTAGCATACTGTGGGATTCTATAGCTGGGTGTTGGGTGGAAGCTGTGAGTGTGGATTGTAGTTTGTGATAAAGTTGGTAGAATTACCGACAATATGTAAAGTAAAAGGACACAAGTGCAACTAATGTGACATTTATTGTGGCAACGTTTCGCTCTCCAGGAGCTTTATCAAGCCATTACAAACAATACATGGACACAGAGGGTATATAAAGGCTCAGTGTGACGGGCAATACTAGTGAGGTACCATTTCGATGTTAACTAGTGGTAGTAGTAGTGACAAAAGTAATACAATATGGTAGAGCAATTAATTCGTACATGAGTAAAAGGATATAAAAGCTATTACTTGGGTAACATAAAAATAGGTTGGGCAAATATAGACTGGAAAGAGGCAGCTTGTTTCAGTGTTCACTCTCTGTAATGTGCTTTGTGTAGTATAACAGGAGAGACTATGTGATGGCAGGGTTTACTGTTTTCAGGAGGATTCTTGCTAAGACTTCGGAGATTGTGAAACTGCCGTTGTTTTGTTTAATTGTATTCGAAACAGTGATCAGTGCTGATTCGAGGCACTTGCGTCTGCGGAAATTAGTTTCTTTGATCACTAATTGGGCGTCTCTGAATTTCATGAGATGATTGGTGGAATTTCGGTGTTGTACACAGGCGTTGTTCAAGTTATCGTTCCTACATGCGTAAATGTGTTCATTGAGGTGGGTGTCGAGGTTTCTTGCTGTTTCACCTACGTAAATCTTGTCACAGCCTCCACAGGGTATAGTGTAAACTCCTGCATTGACTGGTTTGTGGTGCTTGGATTTTGTCCTGGTTAGATCCTTGATTGAAGTGCTAGAAGCGATGGCGACTCTGGTGTTAGCTTGTGAAAGTACTTTTGAGACGTTCAATGCAACCTGGCTGTTGGGAAGAATTATAACTTTGTTGGGAGTGGTGTTGATGCGTGGAGAATTAATAATCTGAAGAGCTCTTTTCTTGCAGTCTTTGATGAAAAAAGAAGGAAAATGCAACTCAGTGAATGTTTGGTGAATGTATGTACATTCCTCGTCAAGAAACTCAGGACTACAAATTCGGTATGCTCTTAGGAAAACCCGATGATGATGCTCTCTTTTGGTCTTGGTATCTTGACTGGAATAGAAGTGTGTGAGATCATTTTTATTGGTGGGTTTCCGATAAACTTGAAATCTTAGGTTGTTGTCTACTTTGTGAATGAGGACGTCGAGGAAAGGTAGCATGTCATTGGACTCTTCTTCTAGTGTAAACTGGATCGCCGGTTCAACTGCGTTGAGCCTTGCCTGAAGATCCCGTACATCAAAACGTTTTGGAGTTATTACGAGGACATCGTCCACGTAACGTAACCAAGTGACGCTTGAAGGGATGATGTTGGCGAAGTGTTCGGACTCTAGGTGTTCCATGTATAAGTTGGCTAGGACAGCACTTATGGGGACCCCATTCCCATGCCGTAGGTTTGTTTCAATAACAAGCTCTACAAACAAACCTACGGCATGGGAATGGGGTCCCCCATAAGTGCCATCCTAGCCAACTTATACATGGAACACCTAGAGTCCGAACACTTCTAGTATTTTGAGTATTTCAACCATGGTTTCTCTTGGAGGATCCTGAGAATCAGCTTGATCGGTCGTTTTCTCCCCTTCAAGTACCCCCCTATTCTCTGAAAATTTACAATCTTGTCCATGTCTTCTTCACCTATTTCCTTGATGATGTTCTCAATCTCCTTTCTTTCTGCCTGCTGTCTTTCAGTGTGCGTCCTTTCCTCTCTCTCCTGAAACCCGTGGATAAACACTGATTTAGCCCTTTCCTCCTCCCATTGCCTCTCCCTCTGTGACTCTGGTTCCTGTCTGTACGTGGTCATTTTCTCCCTTGTTTTTTGCAGTGGCTCTTGGTAGCATTGTTATGCCACTGCATTTGACCTAACACCCTCTCTGCCTGCACCCAGCTGCTCTCCCCTTTCACTCCTTGGGCAGGTTGATATGGCCTTAGCATAATTCATATCTCCTTCCTTCCTGTTTGGCCTCTCAGCTTCATATGCTGTGTCTTCTCTGGTCAATGCCCCTGTAACTTGCTTCAGCCTGTTTACCTCATCTTCTAGGACCCCTATCCTGGTTATTGCAGTTTCGACTTGTGCCTCCCAATTCTTCTTCTCCTTCTCCAACCTCTTTTCTAATTTCACAGAAAGCTCTGTCTATATTTTTTTCAGAAAGCTCTCCTAATTTTCTCTCCCACTCTTGTTCCATCCTTTTCCACTGCTCCTCCAACCACTCCTCCCTACCAGAACCATTCTCATCTGATCCCTGGTTCCTGCGAGTCCCCCCCATTTTTTTTCTTTTTTGAAAGAGAAAAGTGATGAGAGAGAGAGAGAGGAAAGAGAGGAGAGAGAGAGAGAGAGAGAGAGAGAGAAGATGAGAGAGAGAGAGTAGAGAGAGAGAGGGAAGAGAGAGAGGAGAGAGGGAAAGAGAGAGAGGGGGAGAGGAGAAGAAGAGGAGGGAGAAGAGAGAGAAGAGGAGAGGGAAAGAGAGAGAAGGAAAGAGGAGAGTGAGAGAGGAAAAGAAGGGAGAGAGAGAGAGGGAGAGAGGGAGAGGAGAGAGAGAGAGAGGGAAAGAGAGTGAGAGAGAGGGAAAGGAGGAGAGAGAGGGGAAGAGGAGAGAGAGAAGGAAAGGAGAGAGAGAGAGGGAAAGAGAGAGAGAGAGGGAAAGAGAGAGAGAGAGAGGAGAGAGAGAGAGAGAGAGGGAAAGAGAGAGAAAAAGGAGGAGAGAGGGGGGAGAGGAAAAGGAAAGGGGAGAGAGAAGTGGGGAAGAGAGAGGGGGAGAGACAGGAGAAGGGGAGATGAGGGGGAGATGGAGAGGAAGGGAGAGAGGATAGGGGAGATAGAAGGGAGAGAGAGAGAGATAGGAAATGGGAGAGGGGAGAGATAATGAGAGGGGGAGAGATGTTAGAGGGGGAGAGACATTAGAGGGGGGGAGGTGTTAGAGGGGAGAGTTGGGGGGAGCGGAAAGTTGGGAGAACGGAGAGTTGGGAGAGGGGAGAGAGAGATAGGCAAAGGGAGAGATAGGTAGTGAGAGAGATAGGTAGAGAGAGAGATAGGTAGAGAGAGGTATAGGTAGAGAGAAGTAGTGAGAGAGATAGGTAGAGAGGGAGAGAGATAGGTAGAGGTAGAGAGAGAAACAGGTATTGAGAGAGAGATAGGTAGAGAGATAGGTATTGAAAGAGAGGGAGGGATTTCAGGTCAGTTAACAGGAAGGTGTGAAATCCTGTGTATGTATGTGTGTGTGTGTGTGTGTGTGTGTGTGCACGTGTGTATGTGTGCCCCCACTTCTAAGTATTCATACTGCTAATAAATACCAGTAGTAATACCAGTAATTCTAAAACTACCAATAGTAATTCTAGCACTTATCAATTCTACTTATAAAACACAGAAAGTAACTAGGTTGTAAAATTTAGCTTGTCTCAGCTTCTAAGAGTGTCTGATGTCACCCCTCGCTAGTCTGCTCTACACCTCGCACTCTTGTCAACACTATCTTCACCTTACCTATGCTATTTCTACTCTAATTCTGGTAATAGCTTGCAGGAGTGAGTGACAAGTATCTAACAGTGATGCAAGACCAGAATGCAGAACCCGATATGCAACCACAATAGGTGAGCAATACTTGTGCTGGCAGTGGTGCGGTGACAATAGAATTCAACCCTAGTAAATATAAAGATGGAGTACTGGCTAAAGGAAAGGGAGCAAAGGACCTTAGGATGAGCTGCACCAGGCATATCGCCCGAGACGCATATCAACCAAACTGCTGCACCAAATGCACGCCTGGCAACTCTAAAAATAGCTGTCAGAAACCTAAGCAAAAGTCATTTACAATACAGTATATAGCATAGGTCAGGTCCATATAGGAGTATGCAGCACCAGTATGGAACCCACACCTTCTCAAATATATTAACAAGCTGGAGAAAGTGCAGAGGTCTGCAACGAGACTAGTCCCAGAGTTAAGGAGTATGTTCAATGGGTATGGGTTAAGGGAGTTAAACCTAATGACAATAAAGAGAAAGACTATGAGTGCTATGATAATGTATAAAATAAGGAGATTTGACAGGGTGGAGAAGGACAGATTGCTCGAGACAGGAAGCTGTAGTGTGAGGACACAGCTGGAAGTTGAAAACACAGATACATGTATTAGGAAATATTTCTTCAGCCTTAGACTAGTCTGGAAGTGGAAAAACCTGGGCAGTGGAGTAGTAAATGAAGAATCCATATGTAGGTTTTAGAAAAGATACGATAAGAAACTCTAAGCCAGGAGAGAGTGTGAACACTGTAGCGGCCAGCGCAGAGGTGGGGGCTAGGACCCAAGATTCGACATTTTTAATCACTTATAGGTGAATACATACAGGTTAGTGTACAAATATATTAAGCTACTCTCGCACCCCAAAACTACAGTAGTTACACTCCAACCAAAACTGTATTTACCTCCGCTCAACACCAAACACCGTCGACAGGAAAGTGGGTCACCGAGAAGTAGAGCAGAGAGAAATGAAGCAGAGAGATGTGGAGCAGAAACTTAGAAGGCAGAGAAGTGGAGCAGTGAGAAATAAAGTGGGGGAGGGGAAAGTGGAGCAGAAACTTATGGGGTAGAGAGAAGTGAAGTTGAAAGTAAAGAGGTAGAGAGAAGTTGGGCAGAAAGTAACATAGAAGAAAAGAGTGGGGCAGAAAGCAGCATGGAAGGAAACTGGGCAGAAAGAAACAGAGCAGAAAGCAGAGGGGTCAGAAATTAGTTTGGAAGAAAGTAGTGGGGTAGAAATTAGGTAGGCAGAAAGTAGCAGGGTAGAAATTAGTTAGGCAGAAAGCAGCTGACTGGAACTCACCAGCTGCGGCACCCAGCACACAACGAAAATGATGGAGAGGACAGCCATGAGTCTAGCGAATGAGAGTTCCTCAGTAGTGGCGTGGTTCATGGATGGGTCACCGCAGGTCGAGGATGAGCTGCGACAAGATGCTCGGGAGTGGCGCCGTGGCAGCAAGCGTTCCCGCATGCGGCACAGCACACGGATCACAGACAGGTTGCAACACACGATCAATGCACACATCACCATTCCTGTCAGGGGTAATTAATTATGTTTATGGATATTGACTTCAGGTGGGTTCTTAATGTCCAGTAAACTAACAGTGTTTACTTTAATCCCTAAAATCAGGGTTACACTAAAAAATTTAGCACAAGCTGAACTTGCCAAATAGGCAAATTCTTTTACAGAAAGTTAGATCATTTATTTTCATTGACAATGATGCAAATATTTATATTTTTGAAATCTAGAAGTCTAGTGGATCTATGTGTTAATTTCAACTTCAAGTATCAGGACAACTGTTGCAAACGAAGATCTGGGATGGCAATGGGCAGCCCGCTCAGTGCTGTGCTTGCCAATCTCTTCGTGGAAAACCTAGAGACAGAGAAATTCAGCACCCTTATTCCCAACACCATTACCCGGCTAAGATATGTTGATGATATATTGGTTTTCTATCCGAGACGTCTCAATATCCAGGCCCTCCTCAATAAGATCAGTGCAGCCGAGCCATCAATAAAGTTTACACTTGAACTCGAAAAAGATGGCAAACTTCCTTTCCTTAACATCCTCCTGCGCAGATCTCCCGACAGTGATAAACTTCTCTTCAAAGTGTATAGAAAATCTACCAGCTAGGACGATCTTATACACTTCTATTCACACCAAGACACCCACACTAAAAGAGGAGTCCTCATTGGCTTCTTGAGAGGTCTTCGCATCTCTAGCCCTTGTTTTCTTCAGTTTCCATCTTTCTTCATCAGGGATTGCAGACTCAAGGCACAAGCTATCCACAACAAACTGCCCTTGGAATAGCCCTCTAAGCAGTTCATAGTGCTCCCATGTGGCGATGTTGCCACGAATACTCGCCGGGCACTTGCTAAGAGTAACATAAATGTTCCTACCATAAACATATCTATCAAACACCTCACTATGAAACGCAGCCCCACATCTCTAACTTCCACAGCAGGCGTCTACACAATCCCCTGTGGATTCTGTCCCAAGAAATATGTAGGCGAAACAGGCAGAGATCTTGCAGTCCATCTGAACGAGCATCAATATGCCAGTAACAGAGATGACTTAAGGTACACCTGTGTCCTCCACAGAGACTCCATGAGGCATTTGATGAACTGGTATGAGGCACAACTCGTTCTCACTGAACAAGACCTTAGATGCCAATGGTGTCTAGAAGCCTTGCTAATTGCTGTCACCAACACAACAGAATGTAACACTGGAAACCACAAAACTTCTAAAACACGATACTTAACCAGGCAAAGTACCACCTACCCAGTAACACAGGAGTCACATGATCTCATCGTCTACCTGTCCTCCTCACAATATGGCATTCTTCAGGTCACCATGCATCACTCACACCTCACTCTCCAACTATATATACTGTCTTTTAATCTTTGTATGTTAGAAGTGATCAAGGTCTCAGGACCGAAACGTTTTCTAATAAATATGTCTTAGTGTTTGCTTATGTGTTTTTCTAAACCAACTTGTCAGCATTTATTACCAAGGTTTATACTAAAGCTGTAGTATAATCACTGGACTTCTGTTGCTTACACCTCTTGATATAAATTCCAGTAATTTATTTGACTTATTATGTACACTTAGGCACTGCTGTCTTGGTTGAAGGTTGCTGCTTACCATAACCCTCAAGTCCTTTTCACATTCTGTATGGCTAAGTTCTACATTATTTAGCTTATAGGTGCTAGGATTGAGCAATCTTGTTTCAAAAAATTCCATGTATAAATTACTAAATTTATACATTTATTTAATTTATGCAGTGGACCCTCCCTTTTCGTCATTAATCTGTTCCAGAGAGTCTGATGAAATGTGAAACTGACGAAAACTGAAACCATTTTACCCGTAAGAAATAACGTAAATCCAATCGATTCATTCCAGACTCCCAAAAGTATTAACAAAAAATATATTTTTTTAGAGATTAAATATAGATTTACATACAGAAAAGAATGACGAATATATTATAAAGCACTAATAATTTAACATCACACTTACCTTTACTGAACTCTTGTTGGTGTATGGAAGACAGGGAGGAGGGAAGAGGTAGGACTGATTATTGTTTGAGAAGGGAATCCTCTTCCATAAAGACTTCAGGTACCAAGTCCTTATCCTGGGTTACTTGACTTCTTTGTTTTTTAATGACACTAGGACCAGCTGAAGAGTCACTGGACCCCTGTCACACAAAAAAACTGTCCAGAGAGCTCTTGCAGCTCTACCCTCTACCACAATCACTACCACTCTCTACCACAATCACTACTACCCTCTACCACCATCACTACCACCACCACCCTCTACACCATCACTACCACCATCACAACCACTACCACCCTCTACCAACATCACAACCACTACCACCCTCTACCACCAGCACAACCGCTACCACCCTCTCCCACCATCACAACCGCTACCACCCTCTACCACTATCACAACTGCTACCACCCTCTACCACCATCACTACCGCTACCACCCTCTACCACTATCACAATTGCTACCACCCTCTACCACCATCACTACCACCCTCTACCACCATCACAACCGCTACCACCCTCTACCACCATCACAACCGCTACCACCCTCTACCACCACCACAACTGGTACCACCCTCTACCACCATCACAACTGCTATCACCCTCTACCACCATTGCTACCACCCTGTACTACCATCACTACCACCCTCTACCACTATTATTACCACCCTCTACCACCACCACTTTCGTATTTTTCTACAATCTTTTTCTTTAATTCTATTGTGTTTCTCACCTTCTTTATCAAAGGACTAGCACTAGCAGCTTTCTTTGGGCCCATGGTGGCTTATTTAGCAGTCACACTGAATAAACAAGTGCAAAAAAACAATGAATTATTACGAAATGTTCCTATGGCCTCGCAGGATAATGTTTACACCGAAAAACAAAGTGACACTGCCTCAGAATGCATGTGTGGGAAGCTTTGTGTGTGCGCAGAATTCTGACAGGTACCGTACCACCAACGAGAACGGAGGAAAGTAAGGAAAACTGAGCCAATATTTTTACAAAAAAAAAGTCGGCGATAACTGAAATTTGCGAAAACAGAGTCCAACGTAAAAGGAGGATCCACTGTACATGGAATTTTTTTAAACAAGATTGCTTAACACAATCCTTCCTAACAGAGATAAGTGTTATAGATATGTTGATGATATTTTGTGTCTTATGCCTAAAAATATACATATAAACCATTCCCTTGTTAAATTAAACAGTTTAGCTCATTTTATAGATTTTTACTGTTGAGTTAGAAGAAAATAACTCATTGCCTTTCCTAGATGTTTTAATTATTAAGGGTAACAATGATTTTAAATTTTCATCTTGTTCAATGTTTCTGTGTTATCTGTTCCTCTCTATCTTATGATGTTGTTAGCCTCTTCATACCTTACAATCTTACTCTCGAATCTACGATGAACAAGACCATGGTACCTGAATTATATACATACATACATACATACATATACATATATATATATATACATATATATATAAATACATATACATATACATATACATATATATATATATATATATATATATATATATATATATATATATATATATATATATATATATATGCGCAAAACAACCACTGTGAAAGAGTAGTGAAATTCCAAGCGCTTTCATGACTACTCACATTGTCAAGGAACTATGAAAGTAATATATCAAAGGAAGGCAATTAAAGGGCTTAGACCACACCTCACAGTCAACTCCCACAACAAAGAAACACCTGACGTGGGACAATACAGGACTCGTAAGAAAAGAGGAACACTGCAGTAGGTCTGCTGGTCCAACTAGACAGGTCCTCACGACAACCCACTAACAAATTATTCTACCCAAGAAATAAGGTTTATTATTTGTCCAGTGTTTTATTAAACTCTCACCAAATTTTATTAATTATAAATGAATCTAATTTATACAAACCTAAGGAAATATTCATATTATTTTCAAAACTGCTTTTTATGAAACAAGATTCAATTATATTTCTGTCAACCATGGACTTGCTTGATACAACTTTCTCAACTTTTTGAAAATCAATCGGATGGTTAAAGTCTCTCACATGAATAAATAGAGCATTGGAATCTTGTCCAGTTCTAATGCTATATTGTTTCGTATAAATTATCCAAATGGCTTGTTGACATTTTGAGCCCTATTGTTGGTAAAATTTCTAACTTCAATGTTAAAAACAACTTAGATTTAGTTGATAAATTAAGCTCCTTGACTGACTTAAATGATTTTAACATGGTTAGTTTTGATGTTACTTCCTTGTTTACGAAAGTTCCTGTTGATGATTTATTAAGTTTCTTATCTGAAGAACTCGTTAATTATGATTTACCATTACCAGTTCCTACCATCATTAAACTTATTAAACTTTGCGTTGTTAATGCAAAATTTGTATTTAATGATAAGTTTTACACTCAAAAATTTGGTATGGCAATGGGAAATCCTCTTTCACCTGTTCTTAGTAATCTATACATGGAATTTTTTTAAACAAGATTGCTTAACACAATCTTCCCTAATAGAGCAAAATGGTTCAGATATGTCGATGATATTTTATGTCTTATGCCCAAGAATGTAGATATACACCATTTCCTTGGCAAATTAAATAGCTTAGCCCATTCTATAAACTTTACTGTTGAGTTTGAGGAAAATAACTCATTGCCTTTTCTAGATGTTTTAATTATTAAGAGCAATAATGAATTCAAATTTAAAATTTACAGAAAATCTACAAATAACTGTTCATATGTACACTATCATTCTTCCCATCAAGATAAAGTTAAACTGTCTGTTTTCTCATCAATGTTTTTGAAAGCTTTACGTATTTGTAGTCCAGAGTTCATAGATGAAGAAATATCCAAAATTTATGAAATAGCCAATGAAATATCCGAGAAATGTAATTGATAAATCATTTAAAATTGCTAGAAATACTTTTTACAACCCAAAAAGGGACAACCAACCTTATTCAACTAAAAATATGTTGGTTCTCCCTTACCATG